ATACATATTTTTATAACGGCCGAATATATAAAAATCAATGTTTTAAATAATGTTAAGTGTGATTTTGTAGATAATGTTAAGTCTTAAATTTTTATAAGCCATGAAGAGCCACGCCGTTTCTAAGATATGATTTAAGATGACAATTTTGTATGTGTGTGTATATATATATATATATATATATATATATATATATATATATATATATATATATATATATATATATATATATATATATATATATATATATATATATATATATATATATATATATATACTATCTTACAAAAGAAATCTAATTATTTCTAAAAATAGATTGATTATAATAATATTATTCTTTTAAGACGTTCAAATGATAAAGCTGATAGTACAAGTAACCATTAATAAAATAATATTAAATTTTAACCACATTTTGAATTCAAATATTTATCATCAAATCCCCTTATATTTCTCAGCAATTTGATATGGTTTCCTAAAATCTCGAATTCATTCAAATTTTGAATCCTTTTAGATATTCTTAAATTTAGCATGCTGATTCAAATATCCCTCCAATCGTATATACCTCTTTGTTCCCTTCTCTGCTATAAAGCCTACCGTTCAGGAACAAAAAAAGACTTCATCTCCCAAATAACACCATAATTTGATTATTTTGTCTTCGACATGTACTTTCTTTTGTAACATAAACATTTTTTGTAGAGGAAACATATCACCGAAAGAATTTACACGCCCCGCCGCTTTGCGCGGGTACACTGCTAGTATATATATATATATATATATATATATATATATATATATATATATATATTCCAATATTATTCATTTTTATATACATATATAACTTAAAACGACATTTTGTTAAAACGTGACATTAAGTACAAATATTGGAGTTATACCGAATTTTTTATAACCTTGATAAAAAACAGTAGCAAACAACTAGGAAAACTGAGAACATGTGATTAACATCATCTGATCAAAGTTGAAGAAAATGAAAAAAGATTAACATCACACCATTTCTCTAATTTGAAGAGCACGGATTTAGCTAGTTCACAAAGTACGAACATGTGATTAATCTCTTCCATATAGTTACCACAAATTAGGGACATCAATACGACATACAACAAGATTACTTTTTAGTTGGAAGTTCGTTTTGTAAGAACCCCGAACGAAATACGTTAACATTGATTGGAAGAAATTGATTACATAAAGTAGGCGGGGGAATCCATGAGGTAAAATATAATCATCTATAAACAACCGGGTATTTCTGGTTGTGAAATCACCACCAATAATGAGAGTTCAGGTACATGTATCTAGACACTCAGATCCCTCACCAAATCAATCATATACTTGAATTGGGTTGCCTTACCTCCCCCCTCCCCCCCCCCCCTTCCCTCTTGGTTGCCTCCTCCATTGCCAATTACAGGTTTGATTCTCATGTCTATCAACAATCATACAATCATGATTAGTCTCTAAAATGAAGAGTCTATGGAACATATATTGTAAAGCCACATCCCCTACCCACACGTCTTTCCAAAACGAAGTGCTAGTGTTTAGGGATGAGCATAAACGGGTACCCGCGTCATTTGGCGAGAATCGGAACCATAACCGGAACTAGAACTGGCGGTTCCTAGAGAGTTAGAGCCGGAACCGGAACCGCTCTAAGCAGTTCTTAAATGTTTGGAACCAGTCCCGGAACAGGCGATTCTGGTTCTGAGAGTGGGTAACCTGGTTACATTAATTTTGTTATCTTTTTATCGATAAAACCGCAATTTAGTTCGACTTAAATCAAATCAATTCGGACCAAAGACGGAAAAAATCGGACCAATATATTCTAAACTGGTCTAAGTAACACACACACACACACACACACATATATATATATATGTATATATATATATATACACACACACACACAAACCGGTTCAGCGTGTAGCGGTTCCGAAAAAATGAGAACCGGAACTGGAACCACCAGTTCCAAAACCAGCAGTTTCGAGGCCGTTCTGGTTACAAAAGCGGTTACCTGGTTCCGATGCTCATCTCTGTTATTCTTGACGTTCTTCTTGAGAGTATTAATAGTTGTAATGCCCCCAATTTCGGGTTAGACGTTTAAAGTGTTGTAAATAACAAACTAATAGACGCGCAAGGAAACCGACAAATAATATTGAGAATTATATGTCGATTAGTTGCGAATAATAGATCCAATTATTATTATTATATTACCGAGTTTCGTCCAGAAACCAGATCTATCCTTCTCGATTAGATCCGATTATAAGAAAGGTAGAAGAAGACTGTCCTGTTATTGGACGAATTAAAGACAAGACAGAAAGGTAAAACCGACCTGTTGATTGTTGACTTGATGTTGAAGCAACTGCACGGATCAGATTCCTGTCCTTAAAGGTTTTTACTTCGCTTGTATTGGCTGTAAGCAACAGAGTAAAACCCAGGATTTAATGCAGCTAGATCGATATTCCAACAGCACTGGAAATCGACAAACACAAAGAGACTACTTGGAAACTAGAAGAAAAAATGCAGAGAGAGGGGAGAGCTTTCAAAATTTCGTGAGAGTCTATATGGCTCCTAGGGAGCTGTATTTATAGGTATCGTAACCCTAGAAGGCATCAAACGGGCCCCCATAGGCCGGCCCCAGAATCCCTAGGGCGACAGCTTGCTCTCCAAGCAATCTGTTTCCTGATCCTTCTAGAATACCCTGACTTGGCCTCCACGAAGTCAACGGCGGTCAACCATTTGACCGAATCGGTCGAACCGGCTTGACCCGAACAGTGACCGATGCGTCGTGCAAAGTGCGCCTAAATCGCGCCATTTCGCGCACTCGCGGCGTCGGCTAGTGCTAGGCTAGGCTAGGCGCGCGCGTGGGCTTGGCCTGTTCCCTTGATCCACTAAAGCCTTTGAAGACTTAACAAGGGAATAGGCTTATAAACCCACAAAAATTTCTTCCCCACCAATGTGGGATACAAAGGAAATTGCCAACTTGCAATTCCTTTATATATAAAGTTCCAACAATTAAAAGTGTTGATTATAATACTTTTTCTTCATATGTGTTACGAGCAAATAAATATTTATCATATACATATAAAGTGAACAAATATTAGAATTATATAATATTTGTAGAAAACCATAATATAGAATTTATCGTTAAACAATATTATAAAAATTAAAAATAAAATATTGTTTTAGAATAAATACTCTAAATGAAAGTTGTAGTAGTCGTGATCATGAGTACGTGGATATAAAGAACACTTCAATATGACTTTATATGAGAAAATTATGATTTATCTAAGTTTTACGTTCAAACCGATTTGACAAGGTGCGTCACAAAAATATGTGAACTGTGGATAGGTTGTTTTTTAGCCAAAGTACTGTAAAAGAAAGTCAAAGTGCTCGTCAATAGGAACGCGTCAATATAAATAATGCCAAAATCTGTCTTTATATAAAGAAGTTGTGACTTTTCAAAATTTCGAGTGCGACACAATATAACGGTGTGCGATACATAAATCGAAATTAAAACCGGTTGATTGTTAGCCAAAACAATGTAAACGAGAATCGAAGATCTCTTAAAAGGGAATCCGTTGATATAAATATAATCGAGAATGGAGCTCGTATGTAAAGGATATAACCAAAACTTTGTCCCTAAGTTTCGACACACCGCGAAATATGTTCGGATTTGTAAAATTGAAAGAGATTGAGAATTATCTGACAGAGTCTAAATGAAAGTTGTAGTACTTTTCAATACAAAGTCAGGGATATAAAGAACGTTGAAAACAGAGTTTGTATAAAGAAATTACGAATTTCGCAACATTATTTATAGTGTAAGCCCTCTTGAACCATAAAAGAAAAAATAAAGTGAAAATTATCAGACAAAGTCTAAATGCAAGTTGTATTAATCATCAATAATTATGAATGGATATAAAAACCATAAAAAACGGAGTATGTAAGTGAAAGTTATGATTTTTAGAATAATAATAAATTCAGATGGTCTAGATGATGACACGTGGCACGATCCAGTTGAACCCTTCCTCCCCAAGGCTTGCAAGTGGACGGAAACATGTAGCTTAATGAGAGGTTTCCACATCACCATGTATGCCAGGTGATGCACATTGTTGTTTCATGAAAAGAATCCTTGAAGAGGAGTCTATGAGATTATATTACATGTTTGGTAAAACACATGGTTGTTGCTAGAGCACCTGATAAAGACACGAAAATCCTAGTTGAGTCTAGGAAAGTTTGTTTCTTGTGTTCATCTAGACACATACATATATGCTAAATTGTTTTGTGGTTTTCATGTGTAGTGACTTGGAAACTGTGAGACAATTCTTGGGAAGAGAATAAGTAGGTGTGAAAGGTAGTATATGCTTGTACTACCGGAAGCACACGATTCACACTTAGATCAGGAAGAGTCGCAATGTTACTAAGGCACTAGTAGTGGAGTTTGTTTAGTATGTTTCTGTTATTACCTACGTCATGGTGATGACTAGGAAAGTAGTTTTGGTTTAGACCTAGTGGTCATGAAGGATTGAGTCTGAATAAAAATATAAATCTGCGTAAGTGAGCTGATTGGTTTAGAGAACCATGTCATGTGTAGTTCTATATATATATATATATATATATATATATATATATATATATATATATATATATATATATATATATATATATATATATATATATATATATATATATATATATATATTATATTAATTAAGTTCAAATGAGAACCATTTTTAAAGTAAGAACATGAGGACAAATCTCAGCCAATCAATTTATTTAATTAATTAATGTAAAAATTATAATATTTTACATTAATAAAGGTAAGGTTTGATTGTTTAATTATCTTTAAAGAGTATATCAATCAAACTCCTATAATTAAGGAACGTTTTATATTATACCTATCAAACATTGATGGATTCTTCAATCATCAATCGTGTGTGTCAACCCGAATCGGATATTCAAGTTTAGTCGGTCTGAAAGGTGTCCGTAAGATTCAATTAATGGATTTGTCATACTTCAACGAGTTTGTTGATATAAACGCGATCAATGAACAGGACGAAATCAATTACCATCAAACTGCATCTGTCGACCACGATTTTATGTCTAGTGATGATGATATTTGTTCGACTGATGATGATAATACCGCAATTGGGAAAGTCGGCATCATTGCTGAACGTATTCCATGGGATTTCCCACAAGTTGAAAATATTGATCAATCCATTCAAGTTCCTGGTATGTTTGTTTTTTTTGTTTCTTTAAGTTTGTTTAAAAAATGTGTCAATTACATTACACAATTTTGTATATTGTTAGAATACTATCAAAAAATTTACAATCAATATCATATACTATGTATTTAAGTTTATTTGATTTGTTGATTTGTTATTTGTATTATGTTATTAACTTGTCATGGTTATTAGATGTTACAAACATTGATCAACACTTGGTAATAGCTGGTAAATCGTATTGGATTCCATATGTCCCTAATGATATCAAGCCAATAATAAACCATAAATACCCATCTGATGATGCAATTGAAGACATGTACAGAAGATATGCATGTGCAGCAGGTTTTGATGTTAGAAATTCAACAAACAAAAAAAAAAGCGTGGTATGGTGTACATGAAATATCTGCTATGTAACAGGGAAGGTTTTCCAAATACATCCCCTGTTGATACGTTGGACCAAAAAACAAGTAAAATTAAGAAATGGGTTGACACTAGTAGGACCGGATGCAAGGCACGTATACGTTTTAAAATTTTTCCTGGAACTACAAAATGGTTGTTATATGAATTTGAAGAAAAACACAATCATCCACTTATACCAAGGACCATATGTTGTTTTCACGTCATAATAGGCAGCTGGATGACACTCAAAAATCTTTCATTCTTACAATGTCTACTCAGAATATTGGTGCAACCATAGCTCACAGGCTGTATACAAGTATTCTTGGTGGATACAATTTTGTAGGCGGTCTAATTGACGACTTCAAAAATTACATGAGGGATCTCAATTGATTAATAGGTGGTAGTGATGCTCAGATGCTAAATAACAGAAAAGAAAATGTTAAGAATTTTTCTTTTGATTATCGAGTTGAGAATAAACAGTTGAATGCTCTTTTTTGGGCAGATGAAACATCCAAGAGAAATTATAAAGAGTTTGGTGATGTAGTTTCTTTCGAAGCTACTTTCCGAACTAACAGGTTGTAAATGATTGTAGTTTATTATACTTCTTCTTATTAATAAAATACATATTAATTCAAATACTTTTACAGGTACCATATGGTTTTTGTCCCATTTACTGGAATTGATAATCACAAGAGGTGTGTCACTTTTGGTGCTGACTTGTTGAGCAGAGAAGACATTGATTCCTATATATGGTTGTTGAAATCTTTTCTTAAAGCTTTTGGCAAACAACCTTTGTTGGTTTTATCCGACCAAGACCCTGCAATGAAGAAAGCCATCGAAACTGTTTTCCCACAATCGATTCATAGGCTTTGCATGTGGCATATCACATTTAAATTGCCATTGAAGGTATTTATTATTCTCTATGTAATACAATTTTACCAATTAAACAATCAATTGTTGGTGTATTCAAATCAGAATGTTTTTTTTTTATAGTTGATTACATATATTACATTTAACAATTCACAGGTTTCTTTGAACATTGTCAACAATCCAGAGTTACGTAAAAAGTTCAACTTCTTGATATGGAATTCTAGGCTTGAAGTTGATGAGTTTGAGGTAGGGTGGCAGTCATTACTGAATGAATATAAGCTCACGGATAATAAATGGTTAGATGATATGCATGGATTGAGACATTTCTGGATACCCGCATTTTTCAAGCATATACCTTTATCAGGATTAATGCGAACCACGTCTCGTTCTGAAAGTGAGAATTCAACATTTCACTAGAACACGCATTATGGTTCTACGCTTGTCCATTTCATGATGTCATTTGAAGCTACTATGGAGAAGCAAAGATTCACTCAGTCATCTTTTGACTTCAAAACTAACGACAAACATCCAACAATGAGGACACCATTTGAGATCGAGAGGAATGCCTCTATGTTTTACACTCGCACTGTCTTTCGTCAAGTTCAAAATGAAATGTACTTGTCTATGGTTTCATGTACTCAAATTTCGATCAGCACATTCGACGATGTGGATGAGTGTCTTGTCAAAGAATTTATTAATTACATTCCTTCTAATGCAAATGCTTGTCAGCTTGATCCAGAAGTTGAAAATGATGATCAATGGGATATACCTATACGTGAGTCTACTTACAAGGTAATTGCTATTGAAACTTGTAATCTTACTCTTTTAAGTTTCATATATTTTTTTTAACAACTCTTCTTCACTTCATTCAATACAGGTCACACACAATAAGTCTGCACAAACATTTACATGTCCTTGTATGAAGTTTGAGCAATTTGGTTTTCTGTGTCGCCACATTTTTACCGTAATGAAGACAGCAGAAGGACATCATCTCCGCAGAACTATTGAAAAAGTGTTTTCGTTATGCTGATTCTGACGAGAATACCCAAAGAGTTGCACTTGATATATTTCATAGTGTTGATAACTGTGTATCTTCTCTCAGCAATAATCACACCAAATGGAAAGAATACTTGGACGAAATAAAGTAGCTTGAAGCAAAGTTCCTTTCCAATTTCACAACTCATGAAAAAGGAAACAAGAATAAAGAGTTCGAAAAAACACTTGGTGTTACCATTCCCACTAGTGTGGATATTCAAAATCCTAGAGAAATCCGCAACAAAGGAAGTGGTACTAAAAAAAGAATGAAAAGTTCGAGAAAGGTGACAATAGAAAAATCAAAGGGTTCCAGATGCAGTTATTGTCGCAATGGCAACGATCATGATTGGCGAAATTGCCCTGTAAGAAAAGAAGATGAGAAGAACAACATTTTCAAAGAACGTCATGGGAAGAAGAATTAATTTTATTTATCATTTGTTTTTATTTTTTTTAATTGTGTGTTCATGTTCTAAACTTAAATTTTTTTATTCACATCTGATTGCTTTAGATTTGTCATATTCATATTAGAGACATGTTTGAATGCTAATAAGAACCTTGTTTGTCGATTATATTGTTTTGCAATTCTCTATATATGTTATTGTTATCTTAGTCTATAATAAGTTTTTATGTACAAATTTATTCATCATTGAATGATATTAGTATTCCTAATATTACAGAACATTCAATAGAAGATGTTTCGTTTCCAAAAGTTCAAAAAAAAAACATTAAGTTTATCCAAACAAAGGTTTTGTTGCACACATAACAATATGTCGTATTATGCAAAACCCCTAGAAAACAGCATCCTCAAAATATCATTCATTTATAATACTACAAACGTTATCAAGTACGATAATTTCATCACTTAATTTACATATCTTGTACTGTACTGTATACACATTCATCGTGGTTTCAAAAACAACTATAACACATTACATTTACATATAAGTCTCAACAAAAATTGTACCTATATTGCCAATTGCAAATTTATAATGATTTGGTTGTTCTACTTACAGCTTTGGATTACATATACTTTATTGAAATTACAGATTTGGATTATACAACATTCATATCGCATTCCACGACATGTCCATCAAAGTAAGAACTCTAAAAAAAAATTAATTGCTGAAAATCGAATGCAGTTTTACCTTAGACTAAATCATTTCAGACACATTGATCAAACAGTCAACACGGTCAACATAATAATCCATACATAACTAGTAGTAATAAGTGTTCAAACCACAACCAACATAATAATTTTAGACACATAACAAAAACAGATCCATACTACAATAACCCTAAACAAAAACCTACCATCTGACCAAATGAATCTGTTTGTCAAAACAATACTAACCAACAAGCCAGACCCAAAAAAACAAGCAGCTTCCCCATCAGCTTTTAACCAATTGCTTCATCAAAGACTACTTTTAGATTCTCCTGAACTATTCTCTTCCTTGTCGCCTTATCCATTTTAACAAACTTTGCGTACTCCTTTTCAAACTCACACTTCAAAATATTATGATCAGACAACAACAACCTCACCAAATACTTGTACCTTAACTTTTGTAAATACATATCTTGTGTTTTTAAATCCACAGCTAGCCCACAATCCCACTTTGATGTTTGATCCCCCATAAAACTCTCCATATGTTGCATAAGATAGATTCCACCATCATCTGAACGGTTGTATGCTTGACACTTCATTTTCAACACCACCACATTCCTTGTCATCAGGGTCTTCACCCTCTTCTTACAGATATCATCTAGAAAATGGCAGAAAATTTTTTGCTGGTAACAAAACATTACAGACAATCATTAATTCTGTAACACAAATTGTACTAACAATTTACATAATCATATAAACATATATTAATACTAATGATCTTATTTTCATACTTACCAACACACGGGGTATGTTCCCATACATCGACTCAACTGTCCCCACCAATCTTCTTTGATTAATTATCAAAAGTGAAAAACTTTTAAGGTTAAAACATATGAGGTAGTAATTCCCATCAACAATGGGGAAGAAAACCTACAACATATTAGTCAAAATATAACACTTAATAAAAAAATGTAATAACACATTTTAATCATCATATTTCTATTACCAAATCCACATTTTTAGCTCAGAATCATTTGTAAGATCTTCAATTGCTGAGGAGACCATAACTTCAAACTCCTTGTATCTCACATCTTCGTTTACCTTCACGTCATACATTGATTCACGCTGGGCATTACAATTAAACAACACAATAAGTAACATTAAATTTTTAAAAAACTATTATTATATTTCTAAAAATAAAGCATACCAGTGTGCTATTGTAAAAAAAAAGTCTAGAATATGACGAATCTGCCTTACTCTCTTCCAATTTGTTTAGTACAACACTCCAACAGTCGATTACATTTGAATGAATATTCAATTTTGCTGCAAGAGTTCTGGCATATTGTAGATGCATTCCAAACCCTTCTTTTGATTCCCATACGAGCTCCCTGCATTTTACATGGTTGTATAAATCAGATATTTTACACAAAATTAATCATAATTTTTTTTTTTAACATGTATGCAACTACACCTTTTATCCATTCCTAATCCAATAATTGCTTGTGCAACCAGTATTTCTTTTTGCTCAACTGAATCTTTCAAGTCAACAACTCTTTGTACAAAAGGTGACTTCAATGTAGGCCCATGCTTCATTTATCTCCTATCTCTCGTTTTAATCCCTACTCCAGCTTCAACGTTTCTCTTTGTCCTTTTAAGACCTTCCTTTTCAACAATTGCATCATCTTTACCGTCATTCCCTTTTGTAGTATTCATCTCATCTGCGCATTGATTAAGTCTAGCTTCAAACGATGGACAATCATTTTTTAACATACTACTCTTTTTAGAGTTGTTCCTTTCAATTTTATCAGCTTGCTTTATCCAACCATGTGTCAATATACAAGGAGAATCAAAAGTAGAATTCCCATTGTACATTACAACTTCCATTCCTATAGTCGGTGACATTCCTTCCATTCCATGAGAAGAGGCATCCACATTTGATTCAGAATTAACTTTTTGTCCACTAAGTAAATTCTCCCCCATCTTATTTGTCAACTTAGTAATCAGTTGGTTCATATCCTCATCTGTTTGTTCTCCTTCTGTTGCCTTCACACTTGTACCATCAACCTCCATTCTATCTTCATGCCCTTCTGCAATTAAGGCTTTCAGTGTAGTCCCATTAAAGATGTCAACAACCTTCTTAATCACTGCCTTCACTTTATCATTATTCGGATGTATTTCCATACACATCAAACTATTTGCCTCTACAACCTTCTTCTGCTCAACCAACGTACCTACCATTCTCTCAATAATCCCACAACTCTCCTACAATAAAAATAAATGAAATGTTATTTTAAAAATCTAATATTTTTTTATACTATACAATTAACAATCCACAAAATAATTTAATTACTATACATATTATATTTATTATACAATATTTTGACCTCAACTGATATATCTTTTGAATTATCTTGATTCATCATCGCATCATAAAACACACCATCCACATTTTCCCTTAACGTTAGATTTCCAAATACACCCCTGCTTACTTCATATTCTTCTAACACTCTAAGGTGTTCCGAATCATTTTTTGTGATGAAGGGCCTATGCCTACAGAAATTGACATCTTCACATATCACTCTGTCTGCATACGCCATCTGCACAATTACATTCAATAATTTTTTTATTATAATAATTTTTAATGATGCAAAAGTTAAAAGATTAATATAATATTCAATATCATACCATTAGAAGCACCATAGGTCCTGTGAAGTAGCAGTTTTTGTCATTTGGCCTCCATTTATTCTTGCTTTTTCCTAAACAGTCCACTATGTAGTCACACCAGTTAATCCTTGACACATCTTTGCATTGAATTAACTTTTCAATAAAATTAATTCTACAAGACCCCATTGTCTCTGTTTCAGCAAAAGTGTTAATGAATAGCGTCAAAAAATTCAGCTTAAACAACTCATCCGCAATATTTGTTTTCCTTATATTCTTCAAATAGTTCCCATTATAATAATTTCTCTTCCCATATTGTCCTTTCCAAGCTTCAAGCAAAGGATCATTCTTATCACATTCATCTAGCGTGTTAAAGTCCAAACCCTTATTCGGCAGTCCAAACATAGCTTGCACTGTCTCGTTTGTTATGGCCACTTCACCACTTCTAACCCTTATGGAACAAGTGAAGCTATCCACAACAAAATACGCTAGCTTTCCAAGTAGTGTATCAATCTTCATTCCCAGAAAAGATCCAAAACCCATATCACGTACCATTTCTCTCTGGCTCTTTGACAAACTTTTCATGGCTAGATACAAAGAATTTGGAGACATACGAGTACTCAACCTTTGAAATTCAGTTCCTACCTTCCCTTCTTTACATTTTCCTTCAGCTCCAATTACTTTTTTCCCTTTCACCTTACCCTTTTTATCAATAAAACTCTTGTCAACTCTTTTCCTTTTCATTTTCTTTTCATTCTTTCCAGAACCCACCTCCTTTTTCTTCTCAACAAAATCATCATCACTTGTGTCATTCTTATATGACTTTCCATTAATTCTCTTTTTGGGTAATTCTAGTTTTTCCCCCCACCAGGTACCACTTTCTTCCCTGCACTTCTCATACATTTATTTCCATCAACGACACGGATGCTTGACGACCCTGAACATTTAAATAAAAAAATATCATTCTTAAATTTTACACTTTATATATGTTATTTATCCAATAACTAATGTACATAAAAAAACATTATCTCACATATTGACATATTTATAATTATTCATCACTGATTAATGACTACAAGCCATTTTGAACCCATATTCACACACGAATACATACTCATGTGCAAAAAAATTATTCCATCATACAATTAACTAACAAAAGAATACATACTCACTTCCTTTAAAAATAAACATAAACTACCTGATTACTCATTCACATACACATTCATTGCAGATTAGTCATTCAATTAACCAATAACAAACGGTTGTCATAAAAATTATCCCACAAGCCTTGACTAATATTCTTTATAGAAATACCATTCATTGCCGAAATCGATTCTCTACTGCATACTCATTGATTTTCATTATTATTTACACATTCAATTATGAACCACATAATCACACATACACATTCGAAACAGATTACCAAACTCAACACCACATTCACTACCACACATATACATATTCAATACAGAATTCCCAGTCAACTACACACACATTAACTATTTCATACTAATTCCTCTTCAGTATTGCTTAAACATTCAATTCTTAACCACCTAATCACACATCCATATTCTAACCAGATTAACAAACTCACTACCATACAAATTCAGTTTCACTTCCTTTAAAAATAAACATAAACTACTTGATTACTCATTCACATACACATTCATTGCAGATTAGTCATTCAATTAACCAATAACAAACGGTTGTCATAAAAATATCCCACAAACCTTGATTACGATTCTTTACAGAACTATCATTCATTGCCGAAATGGATTCTCTACTGCATACTCATTGATTTTCATTATTGATTACACATTCAATTATAAACCACATAATCACACATACACATTCGAAACAAATTACCAAAACCAACACCACATTCACTACCATACATATACATATTCAATACAGAATTCCCAGTCAACTATACACACATTAACTATTTCATACTAATTCCTATTCAGTATTGCTTAAACATTCAATTGTTAACCACATAATCACACATCCATATTCCAACCAGATTAACAAATTCACTACCATACAAATTCAGTTTCACCAAACTCAACAAAGAAAATCACCTTCTACATAACATAGTAAAAAATGCATCTACGTCTTATCTCTTGTAAATTTCACTACCACAACACAGGATTCCGATTCAACTCCACACACAATATCTATTGCATCATATTTCGTATTCATTATTGCTTAAACATTCAAATTAATAACCACAGAATCACACATCCATATTATAACCAGATCAACAAATTCAATACACATTTCACTTATAATCATCGAACAATATTCAGATAATTGAAACAATTGACTGTGTAAACATAACATTTCAGGCGATATAAACTCTTTTATTCGAAGATCAAACAAAATAAAGTTCAAAGTTTAATCAAACAACTCGATAACTTAGTTATCAATCCCATTTAAATAGGCATTCCTTCAAAACATAATTTTTCCTCATATCACATCCACGGCCAAAATTGTTATTCAAGCAAACCAAACATAAGATCAAATCACACTCACTACCAACTAACATTTACACACAAAAAAACTTTGATTATACCGACACACAGACAAAACATCATCATTCCTCAGAAAAACCTAAAACAAAACCCTAATTCCTATCGTATATAAAAAACCAAAAAAATAAATCTTTATGTTACCTGATTCAATGTACAAGACTTCTTCTTCATCAACATCGATAGCATTGTTAGCCGTATTACTAAACTTTGACTGGAATCCTCCTTCCATCATTCTTGGACTCCTTCTCAAGCTATGTGATCTCGTCCACCTCATTTCGCTTCAATTTTATAACATAAAACGATTCACATAATATCTTGGAAATTTTTTGAAGATTCAATCAAGATCGTTTCAGACACGAATGGAAACAATTTGGTTAGATTTTTCCTCCGAGGGTTTATCGGGAACCGTTTCCAATCTCACAATATTTCCTTATTTTACAATATCCTATGTTAAATAAATCTCATTAATTACGTACATATCAACATAGAATATTACGCGTATTAATAAATCAATTTAGAATACATATAAATTAGGAATACTCAATCTTGACCCTTAAATACACCAAATCTAATGATTAAAATTATTCCTCACGTTCTCACATAAAAACCTATTCTCAATTTAACCTACCCATATATATATATATATATATATATATATATATATATATATATATATATATATATATATATATATATATATATAAAAGGTGAAGAGTAAATTCATGAGTACAGTTACATCTATAAACTCCATCGAATTTAGTATCTATTAAAAAATCATTAGAATTGTATAGCAAAATGATAATTATATATTCTCTTTACATCACAAACTTCATGGAATGAATAGGTATCTATGAAAAATAATAAGCAATATCTTTAAGCAAATGTAACCTACAAAATGTTTGATTTGTATGTGGGACTGAGAACATTTATTAAAATATTGAATTGTATATTTCCGTTATCTTTCTTTTCTTAACTTCCAGCGAGTTTCACTTTAAAAAGAATTATAATGAACACTTTAGCAGGACTTCTTGTTTTAAATTATACTATGTAAAACAATTTTGTAATACACAACTATTAAGATGCATTTTTGCACCACAAACACCATCCCACATCGATAATTGCATAAATGAATGTGAACGAAGTAAGATATATATAAATGATTAGCGTGTTGTAGCTATGTTTGCATCAAATCCTACATTGTTTGGTGAGCATATATATTGTAGTGAACTAAATATAAACTATGAGGTCCCGAAGTAGAAAATTGCTAAGATTTTTGTGAATTTTGGCTAAAAGTGGTTAAAATATTTTTAGCAACCGGGTATTCGGAACCGAAATCCATCTTGGCGGTTCCGGGAGCGGTTCCAAAATTGCAAGAACCGGTTCCGGTTTTGGTTTTAATATCATAGGAACCGCAAGTTTTGGTTCAAGTAAAATTGGTCGGGTACTCGTTTATGTTCATCCCTAGCATGAACACCGCGTCAAGAGTTGGTGCTCTGGTTGTGTCGTCTCTGAGGGTGTTTGATTAGATGGATTGGTTCAATCTGATCCAATTGAATAAATCCAAATTGATTTCGGTTTTCAAAATATGGATCCGAATTGTTCAAACTAAGTTTAAATCTGATCCAATTACAATTCGGTTAGATCGATTTTATTATTCGGTTTTCAAAAGGCATAACATTTTAAAACGATATATAATTATAATATTAACCAATTTTTATAGAAGAAGCAAAAGCAATTTATTTATTTATAATTTATAATTTATAAACAACTACTAAGATGATATGTAATAATTTAATATTTAATAGATAAAACAATTTTGAGAGAAAATGCATATTAATTTTTTTAATTATGTGAAACCTTTTGAACTTTTTTGAAAAAAAAATTAATTAATAAAATTAATAAATAATTATAGATATATTAAAAATAAATAAATAATAAATTGTTATTCGATTTTTATTTTATAAACCAAAACCACTTCGAAATTCAAAATAATAATTTGGTTTTGGTGAAATTCAATCTAAAAATCCGAATATTCGAACCAAATAGTCCAATTGAATAATTCAGTTTTATCTAAATAGTGAACGACCCTAAATATCTCTACAAAGACGGAAGAAGACGAAGTTGCTATTGGCTTGTTTCTTTTTTTACCGCTTACAGCTCTTGGAAGCAATTAAAAAAAAAAACTTTATTGAAGATGTAAAATATGCAGGTTGTTATAAAATATGATCAAATAACAATATAAATTATAGAGTAAAGAAAGATATGAGAGTAGAGAGAACTTTTATTCCAATACTTGTGATGAATTCATATATTGCCTAATACATATGGCTCACTATTTATACTATCCAAATAAGATGAAAGATGAGCTACAATATGAATGCACATTATGATGGTGTATTATTACATTCATAAAACACATTGAAATGGTTGTTACTAATGCTAAATAATGATGGAGAGTTATGGGAGAAATGGAGAATCCAATGGTCATTCACAAACTAATATTTCATAACACTCCCCCTTGAATGACGATTGTATCATGCCTCGTTAAAACCTTAATAGGTAAAACCTCATGGGAAAAACCATTTATTAAGGAAAAAGAGTACATGATTAATAATAGATATTTGGAACAATTGCCTCGTTAAAAACCTTGCTAAGAAAACCCAGTGGGAAAAACATAGCTAAGGAAAAGAGTACAATATGTTTCCAACTCCCCCTGATCATCACATCACTTGATTTCCTTAAAGCGTCGCATTCCAATATTTCGTACCATGTTTTCAAATTTGGATGTAGGGAGCGCTTTAGTGAACAAATCTGCCAAGTTGTTACTTGATTGAATTTTCTGGATGTTGATGCCACGCTCTTTTTGAAGATCATGAGTAAAAAAAAACTTTGGTGAATATGTTTGGTTCTGTCTCCTTTGATAAAACCTTCCTTGAATTGGGCTATACAAGCCGCATTATCTTCATATAGTATGGTTGGAGCTTCCCTGTTAGAAGTTAGACCACAACTCTCACGAATGTGATGAGTTAAATTTCTTAACCAAATACATTCACGGCTTGCCTCATGAATTGCTATAATCTCTGCATGGTTAGAAGAAGAAGCAACTAAAGTTTGTTTAACAGAACGCCAAGAGATTGCGGTACCTCCACAAGTGAATAAATAACCTGTTTGGGATCGAGCTTTGTGTGGATCAGACAAATATCCAGCATCTGCATAACCAATTAACTCCGCATTTGATGAATTTGAATAATATAAGCCCATATCCATTGTACCTCGAAGATATCGAAGAATATGTTTGACTCCATTCCAATGTCTTCTTGTTGGGCAAGAACTATATCTTGCTAATAAATTTACAGCAAAAGATATATC